GTGGGAGACCTGGAGGAACAAAATAAATAAATGAAATAAAAAAAGCTTATATGATAACAGGTAGAGACTTTTCAAAAGTCAAAGTATTAGAATACACTTACACTTCCAAAGGCGGAGAAATTTATCTTAAAAAGTTCACTCTTGAAAACATAGTATATGGTAATTAAGGACCTGAATGTGTTTGTGAGAATGCAGAGCCGAGGGCTGGTGCTGTGCCTTAGTGGATAAAGCTGCCGCCTGCAGTGCTGGTATCCCATCTGGGCGCCAGTTCAAGTCCTGACTGCTCCACTTCCTATCCGGCTCTCTGCTATGGCTCTATGTTAATCAGTAAAAGATGGCCCAAGTCCTTGGGCCCCTGCAACCATGTGGGAGACCCGGGGGAGGCTCCTGGCTCCTGGCTTCAGATCAGCACAGCTCTGGCCACTGCAGCTAATTGGGGAGTGAACAAGCAGAAAGACATCTCTCTCTCTCTCTCTCTCTCTCTCACTCTCTGCCTCTCCTTCTCTATGTAACTCTTTCAAATAAATAAATAAATCTTAAAAAAATAAAAAAAAAGTGCAGAGTCACCATGAGAGTTCACAGCTTAAAAAAAAAAAAAAAAACTAGCTCTGAAAAGGGAAGGAAATAATAGACAATACTGGGAACTATAACCTTCTTTTGCTCTAATTTCCATAGAAGAAAACAGAAATACTTTTCAGCCTCTTAAACTTTTTCATGCATTGGTAAAATGTCCTAACTGGCTTTTAATTTCAAAAGTCTACCTATGGATTCCACGAGTAGCTCATTCAAGAAAGTCCAATGTCACTAGGTATACTTCAGAATGTATCTATTCTGAAGAGGAAACTCAAAAAGGGTGCCTTAAGTTCTTCCACAGTACTCCAGAGACCCTGCAGCTGTTGTCCAATCTGCAACAGAGTATCTCATACAGCAGTTACTACAGTACATTCTTGTTTCCTGAACAGATACAGAGAACTAAGCTGCAGACACAATATAATGAGACTTGTTAAATATAGTTGTCATTTCTGAGAATATTAAATATTTAACATCTTTAAAGTGGAAGTTACTATATATTTTAAAGCGAGAAAGTAAAGTGTTTTGGATCAGTTTTCTTAATGCCTTTAACAGGGATTAAATATTCGTTGACAGTGAAGATCTTAAAGACACCTTTCTAAAAATCTCCCAGCTACTAAGTCTAGTATCACACGTTCTGATCTGCTTCAGTTTCCCAACAGCTAGGCACAGGAGTTCTATGTTTGCCTCTTTGCTCCCCATCCTACTCAATGAGAATGGTTTCCAAATGTATCCCACACAATACAAACTGCAACGCTCCCAACCCAAGGAAGTCTCCAAATACAGACTGCCTTCTGCAGATTTACATCCTTTGGCTACGAATACCCAATTGTAACATTTTTGTATGTCGGAGGCACCCTACCTACAGAACGTTAAGTATGTTAACTATTAAGCTTCCTTTCCTAATTCTGGGCCCGTCATACCAGCCTTCGAATACTTTCCGGGTAAGGCATCTCTCCTCCAACTCGTCACCTCAGCTGCCCCCAGGACTGGACCTCGGACGCCCCCACGGCAGGTCGGCTCTACCCTGTGGACCCGGAGGCTACCTTCTAACTTCTCTAAGCAGAACAGCCACATGTGTGTGTGCCCCCTGCACCCAAAGCTCTGAGGGGGACACCCAGCCCAGGGCAGAGGCTGCCTGTCACAGAACAAGACGGCTCGGACAATGATAACCTAATCTTACAACAAACAAGGACGCTGAGGACAGCGATAAGGAGACGAAACAGACTGGCCGGCGACCAGCTCAGCAACTTCTCGGCAAAAACCGACCTCGCTCCTCCCAACGACGCTGGACACAGCCCGAGGACACGGAGCCGCTGGCCGCGCCATCCACCGCCGCCGCAGCGTCCCTCCGCGCACCGGGTCACGGGGCGACGGGCCACTCGCCAGGCTCCGCTCCGCCCCGCAGAGCCAGGATTTTCATAACCATCCCTCCCCACCCCGTCGTGGAGAGGGTGCAAGGATGGGGCCTGGCTGCTGGGAGGGTTACCTGTGAGCCGCGCGAACCCGGTAATGCTTTCCGGGACCGGGAGCCGCTTCAGGTACGCGGGGAGCTGCACCTTCACGATGCGGGCCACGCTCTCCAGCACCATCCTGGCGTGCGGCTTCCGCTCCTGTCCAGAGCCCCACGCCGAGCTGCTGCGCCTGCGCAGGGAGCGGAAGCGGCCGGCGGGCGCTCGCGGCCTCGGTCGCCCCGACGGGCGGGGCTGCGGACCGAGAAGTGAGTCTCCACGCGCCGATTGGCCACGGCGAATCACGTGCGCGCGCGGCGGGCTGCGGCGCCGCGGGAACTGCTAGGTGAGCGGGGAGGCCTTCCTGGGAGCCTGGAGTTTGAAGGCCGGCGCTGTGGGCGTGTTCCGCCTGGGAGGCCCTGGAGGCCAGCGGGAAGGATTTCTGGTGCTGATTAGGCCTGTGGGTGCTTTCTAACGGCGAGTGTCTTTCAAAAGTGAGTTTCTCTCGCCGGCGCTGTTTCGCCCCTGGGGTCTCTGCCCCTTTCTTCAGCCTCACCCAGGCTCCCGCGGCCCCTGATTCTGCTCCCTCACCCCAAGGGCAGGGTATTTTTCTAGAAGGAAAGAAGTTAAACCAGGAACTGCCCCTTGGCAAACTTGCGGCAGCCCTGCTCCAAGGTTTTTGGCACGCAGGCAAGACCCCTAGTAAGCCTGCCTTAGGTATTTTCCGTTCTTTTTGCAGATCATGTCTTCTGCATTAACTAAAACTCTTCGAGGTAATAGAAAAACACAAAGCCTTAGGGTTTTCTCTATGCAGCAGGCCTTCAGCTAAAATGTAAAGCCTTTTTTACTTACTTTTATTAAGTATAAAGAAGATTTGGAGGGTGAAAGGAGACATCCTCAGTCTCTTGAATCATTCCTTGCCACTATATTGTGTCATATGTGGGCTGAAGTTAGGATCTCTGAAAGACGCCGTGGCCGCTTGCGTGGGGCGTATACCGTTAGTTGCAGTTTGCTTAACCAACCACACATACCAAGGAACTGAGAGTTGGTATTATTTTTTTACTTTTTCTTTGGCATTTTTATTTTAAGATGGAAAAGGAAGAATAAAAATTTTAAGGCAATCTTTCTCTGTACTAAATTTTTTATTGTCTTTTACCAAAAACAAAAGTTCAGAGGGGTAACAGAAATTAGATAAAACTATCTTCTGTCGGTTTAACCTGTTCAGAATTGTCCAAGTAAAATCACAGTGGAAATTCTATGAGTATATTTGAATGTAAATTCATAGCTGTGACCTAGAGTAATATAGAAGGTGTACAGAGTTAAAAGGTTGGCATTTATGTTAGAGTTTTTCTTTTGGGAGTTTGTTTCTGGCGTCCGGGAAGAAGGAACTGGAGCATCTTTATCTAGAAAATAATGCAACTCAGCAAGCAACCTTGTTATCTGAACTGTTGGCTGTCTAAATATCTGCTCATCACATACAGAAATACCACTGGGGAGCTGTTTGAGGTAGCGGTAGGTTGTAAGTGGGGAAGAAAAGTTAAGAAAAGGCTATTAAATACATGTTTCTTAGACACTTTGTCATCCTGATGAGGCAAAACATGCTGTGTTGAATGATATTCTTAAGGCCTTCAGACAGCTTTTTCTTAAAGAATTAAACTGATACCTCAATTTAGAAGTATAACAGAAAAATCTCACGTGCCAAATGTACAATTATTGTACATTTATCAGGGATATTTTCTTAGATTCCCTTTAAAATTTAAATCCTGTTTTTACATATATTTTTAATTTGGATTTCATTTTCGCAACCGTGCCTTCTTGGCAGTACATAAAACAGAGAGAGGGTCTGAAGATAACGTTCTAAAAAAGGAATGACAGGCTTACTTACCACCTTATGACATAGTATTCAAATTCAGGTCTCACTGGCGTTTCTTACATTTAAACTCTCCTTAAAAGACATAATTTGTTTTTTATAGTGGTTGAACTAGTGCTTCGATACTAATCACATAGACTATTGAATACCTAATTAAGATTGTTATGAGTACAAAGGGAATTGAGAAAATGAATTAAAAGTAAATGTGAAGGCAAAAACCAGGCCAGCGCCTTGGCTTACTAGGCTAATCCTCTGCCTTGCGGCGCCGGCACACCAGGTTCTAGTCCCGGTCGGGGCGCCAGATTCTGTCCCAGTTGCCCCTCTTCCTGTCCAGCTCTCTGCTGTGGCCCATGAGTGAAGTGGAGGATGACCCAGGTCCTTGGTCCCTGCATCCCCATGGGAGACCAGGAGGAAGCACCTGGCTCCTGGCTTCGTATCAACACAGTGCACCAGCCGCGATGCGCCACTTGGGGGGTGAACCAACGGAAAAAGGAAGACCTTTCTCTCTGTCTCTCTCTCTCACTGTCTAACTCTGCCTGTCTAAAAAATAAAAAAAATTAAAAAAAAATTTTTTTAAAAAAGCATAAGCCAAAAGATTTTAAAATCCATGAATAGTTTTTTTAAAATACACATTTTTCATGAACTTTTGGAAGACCCCCTCACCCTCCCCTGCATGGATTTCAAATTGTTTTTGCACTAAAATGAAGTTATCTTTTAATTCCATTTCCCATGAACTTTTGGAAGTACCCTCAAGTAAAAAGTTTAAGGGAACCCCATGCAGATTTCTGGAGCTCCTTCTCTGTTAGCTGTCTGGAATTTTATCTCCCTTCTCCCCATTACTGTGTCCTATTAAGTCAAAGAAAAGTTTATACAAGTTTTTTAGACAGAAAAAAAAATTAGATTTCATCATGCACACAAAGGTGAATGTACAGGACTTCTCAACAGGAACTCTAGAAACTAAGCACATGGGAATAATGCTTCAAAGTTTCACAGAAAAATTAGAATTTTGTACCAAGCCAAATGATCAACCAGTTGTGAAACTAGAATAAAATAATTTTTAAACTCAAAAGGGCTCAAGAAAATACATATTCCATGCATTTTTTTCCCAGAAGCTAATGGAGAGTATGTTCCTCCTAAATGAATAAACCAACAAATGGGACATGTGATCAAGGAAACGAAAGAGAAAAAGAGTCACCGATCCATGATTGGGTGAGTAGATGAAATTAAGAGAATATAATATGTTTAAACAAATTGAGAGACTTACCTTGAGCTGGGTTTGAGATTAAATTGATAATTATTACATAGAAGCACAGTGAAAATAATATCCGTTTGTTTTTCCAAAGTTATTTTTTATTTAATTGAAAGAGTTCCCCTCTGCCACCCTATTTTCCAAATGTCCACAACAGCCCCCCGTTTCAGCTAGGACTGAAACTGAGACTCAGGAACTCAAAACAAGCTATCATATGGATTCAGGAACCTAGTCACTTCAGCTTCACTGGGTCTGTATTATGAGGAAGCTAAACTGAGGAGCAAGAGCGGAAACTGATTCCAAGCAACTCCACTATGGATGTGGGCATTCCAACAGCTAGGTCAAACACCACCCTGCTCAAATATTTTTTAAGGGACCAAGAAACTCATTTTAAAATGAGTATTTTGACTTTGGTGTTCAGCATTCTTACATTGTACTTCCTCTTTATTGGAAGGAACTTCATTTGAACTGCTTTGCATTGCCCACAGCTTTAAGAGGAAGTACAGAAAACTGGAAATAAAAGTTAAATTACAAAAACAAAACTGGAGTTTTGCTATTTGTTAATTATTGTAAGTCAGTAATTAAACTATTTTTCAGTTATCTTCCCTAGAACTTTATATTACCAAAAAAAAAAGCAGTCTATAGAATTCCCTGTGTAAAATTCTTAGCCCCCTAATAAAATAGAATGAGTTGCTTTTTTTTTTTTTTCTTAAGATTTTATTTATAAAGGCAGTTTAGAGATCTTCCTTCCATCTGCTGGTTTACTCCCCAAATGGTTGCAGTGGCCAGAGCTGGGCCAGGCAGAAGCCAGGCACCAGGAACTCCATCCTGCTCTCCCATGTGGGTGATAAAGGCCCAAGTATTTAGACCATGTTCCACTGCTCTGCCAGGCACATTAGCAGGAAGCCGGATCAGCAGCAGAACAGTCAGGACCTGAACCCATGCTCACAGCTTCACAGGCAGTAGCTTAACCGACCACACCATAACAGCTACCCCTAGAATGAGCTTTGAAAGAACCTTTATACTCTATAATTCCATGAGTGTATATTGATTGATCACTGTTGGAATCATTGACTAGAAAAAAGATTATGATTAAAAGCAAATATAGGGCTCAGTGTTGCAGTATTGGTGGGTGAAGCTGCTGCTTATAACACCAGCATCCCATTTGGGCACTGGTTCAAACCCAGCTGCTCCTCTTCTGATCCTGCTCCCTGCTAAGGTGCCTGAGAAAGCAGTGGAAGATGGCCCAGGTGCTTGGGCCCTTGCCATCCATGCCGGAGACCCAGAAGAAGCTCCTGGCTTTGGCCTGGCCAAGCCCTGGCCATTACAGCCATTTGGGGAGTGAACCAGCAGATGATCACTCTCCCTCTCTCTAACTCTGCTTTTCAAATAAATAAAACATTTTTAAAAAGTAAATATAAAGACATGTATATGCATAGTTAAAGGCTTAATTCCATAGATTTTGGAAGTTTTTCTTTTTTTAGAAGCCATATTTTTTCCCTTAGAAATTCTGTGCTCACTGTGATCTGCATATATAATCATTAAGTAGTAAAATAATAAAGTAATAGGGCACATTCTCATTTACCTCAGAAGTCTGGAATTAGTCTTCTCTAAGCATTGATAAACTAAACATTAAAGAAAACAAGAATATGACTAATGCTTTGTTATGCTACTTGTGTGTTTAGAATAAATTAATAAATAAAGTAAGATGTGTTCACCTTTGAGTTAGTAAACTCAGAGCAGCATTTTCACCCTAACTGACATCAGGATGGTGGAATACGAAGTCCCAGCCCTCAAAGGGTTTCAGAAATACTGATGATAACAACCACTCACAGACAAGATGATTATCTTTAACGGAGCTTGGGACTCCAACTCAAAGGTTTCAGCACGTAGGTAGAGCAAAAACTCCAATAATGGATTCATTGAAGAGGGTAAGAACAGTTTACTTGACTCACATTGTCCTCCCCAAGGCACCACAGCTCAGATCCAAAAGAGGCCTCCATGGCCTAGGAATTCTTGCAGGGGGAAAGAGTGAAGGGAATGGCTAGTTTCCTTAAGTTTGTTTGATGCTGCCCAAGGAGACCACTGCTGATTTACTGCATGCAAAACATTCAGGGAGGGGCCAGTGCTGTGGCTTAGAGGTTAAAGCCACTGCCTGTAGTGCCAGCATCCCTTATGGGTAGCACTTTGAGCCCCAGCTGCTCTACATCCAATCAAGCTCTCTGCTATGGCCAGGGAAAGCAGTGGAGATGGCCCAAGTCCTTGGGCTCCCTGCATGGAGACCTAGAAGAAGCTCCTGGCTCCTGGCCTCAGATCGGCCCATCTCTAGCCATTGTGGCCATTTGGGGAGTGAACCAGTGGATGGAAGACTTTTCCTCTCTCTACCTCTCCCTTTCTGTAACTCTGCCTTTCAAACAAATAAATCTTAAAAAAAAAAAAAAAAACTAAACATTCAGGGAATCTCATAACTGAATAGTCTGGGAATAGTTAGATGCTGGGATAAAAGGCTGAGGCACACCAGCAGCTAGTACTTAATTCCCAACAGATGGCCATGGATCCTGGTAACTGGCTTGTGGGACTCCACCACGAGGCCTGTGAATGAACTCCACAGCATGCCTCGTTCTATAGATTCTCTTAACTGGGAAGCATCACCCAACTTGCCCCTTGTAGCCAGTGCCCCACCATCCTCCATGGAGGCCTGCATACAGCACACAGATTTCTGCAACTGGCTGCACTGCTGCACTGGAAGAAGGCACACAACCTTGAACACTTCAGCGTACTGTCCCAGAAAAAATAGATGGAGGATCTCAGCACCCGAGCTCGACTGGCTCTCTGCCTATCTCCACTCCACAAGACAGCCAGAGCAATGGAGTAAGTAAAAGGTCTGGGAGACCCTCCAGAATCTCTAGTCAGGTTGACTAGTGATGAAAACCGTGCCCTCCTAAAGCTAGTCTCCAAAGCCAGAGTCCAGGAAAGGGCCAGTCTTGCTCTTTTGTAACAACTCTCTTTGATGGGAACCAACCAGAATCCCATGAGAACCACATTAATCTCTTCCAAGAGTGATGCCCTCAGTGACTCAATCACCTCCCACTAGGCTTCACCTCTTAAATGTTCCACAGGCATCCAACACGTGAACCCTGGGGGACAACATCCGTATTGTATCACCATAATAGCATAGGATGGAGTGAAGGTGGGAAGAATGTATCACTATGGTAATAGTAGTAATTATGAAAATTGTGGATATGCCTGACCTCCTCCTAGACAGAATGGCCACAAGAAAAACAAAAACAAAAACTATGCATATGGAGGGGCCAGAGCTGTGTCACAGCAGGTAAAACCGCTCCCTGCAGTGCCGGCATCCCATATGGGCGCTGGTTTGAGTCCTGGCTGCTCCACTTCCGATACTGCTCTCTGCTATGGCCTGGGAATGCAGTAGAAGATGACCCAAGTCCTTGGGCCCCTGCACTCACATGGAAGAGCTGGAGGAGACTCCTGCCTCTGGCCTCAGATCGGTGCAGCTCCAGCCATTGCAGTCAATTGGGGAGTGAACCAGCAGATAGAAGACATCTCTCTCTCTCTCTCTACCTCTCTTTCTTGAACTCTCTATGTAACTCTTTCAAATAAATAAATCTTAAAAAAAATGCATATGGAGCATCAACTCCTCTGCTGCAGTTTTGAAGGAGTTTCTTATATTCTGAAACTGCTGCACAGATTTATCGTACCAATTAAATGCCTGATTTTTCCAGTTAATCATTCTAAGGTGAAAGCATAGACAGGATAGGAACATTTGGGTGACAAGAATTAGAACTTTGAACCTCCATATTCCCCTCAACCTCCCTTGTTCTCAGAGGATCAGCCTCTACATGGAGGGCCTTGGTGACCACTTTCCTCCTCAAAAGCTAATACATGCTGTCCTCAACTTCCCGTCTCCCAATGCCTCCAGTTAAATTCCCAAACAACTTGGTTAAGAAAGTATGAAAGCCGGCGCCGTGGCTCACTAGGCTAATCCTCCGCCTAGCGGCGCCGGCACACCGGGTTCTAGTCCCGGTCGGGGCGCCGGATTCTGTCCCGGTTGCCCCTCTTCCAGGCCAGCTCTCTGCTGTGGCCAGGGAGTGCAGTGGAGGATGGCCCAGGTGCTTGGGCCCTGCACCCCATGGGAGACCAGGAAAAGCACCTGGCTCCTGGCTCCTGCCATTGGATCAGCGCGGTGCGCCGGCTGCAGCGCGCCGGCCGCGGCGGCCATTGGAGGGTGAACCAACGGCAAAAGGAAGACCTTTCTCTCTGTCTCTCTCTCTCACTGTCCACTCTGCCTGTTAAAAAAATAAATAAATAAATAAATAATAAAAAATAAATAAAAAAAAAGAAAGTATGAAGCCTGCTCTGGAAGGAGACAGCATACACAAGAATTAAAAGACTTTGCCAGGGCTGGCACTGTGACATCATGGGTAAAGCTGCCACTTGCAGTGCTGGCATCTCACATGGGTGCCAGTTCCAGTCCTGGCTGCTCCACTTCCAACCCAGCTCTCTGCTATGGCCTGGGAAAAGCAGTAGAAGATGGCCCAAGTGCTTGGGCCCTTGCACCCATGTGGGAGACCCGGAAGAAGCTCCTAGCTCCTGGCTTTGGAACAGCTCAGCTCCGGCCATTGTGGCCATTTGGGTAGTGATCCAATAGATAGAAGACCTCTTTGTCCTTCTCTCTTTCTGTAACTCTGCCTCTCAAATAAATAAACCTTTTAAAAAGAGAAAGAGACCTTGCCAATTTATTTATTTTTGTTTTTTTTCTTTTTTTTTTGTTTTTTCTTTTTTTATTGTTTTTTTTTTCTTCTCTTTTTGTTTTTATTATTCTTTTTGTTCTTTCATTGCTTTTTTTTTTTCTTAGACCTTGCCAATTTAATCAGCAGGAACCTGGCAGGTATCTATGGAAGTGAGTTCTAAGAGTGTTATTACCAAGGAAGAATAAATACAAAATAAAATCAAGGCAGATTTATTGGCATAAATATACTCACCCAAGAATCAAGATGTATTATGTTGGCATTAATAGTTTGCTAGGATGAGGCTTGGTCTCGGTAATAGTGTACAAGTGAAATGGTCCAAATGCCAGATATTTCCTGAAATACAAAGACTCTTAGCCATCCTCAATTTTCAAGTCACTTAGGAATGCAATGATGACGGGAGCATCAGCATTCCCAAAGAACTCTGAAATAGCAATCTTTGTTTGCTAGACATGATGATGAATACTGTGGTAAAATTGGGGTTCCTGATCTCAGTGGCAGGGATAGAATCCCAAAGTGGTAGAGACATACAACTATTAGAGATAAAGTGGGCAGGGTTACCACAATCAATCAAAGGATAGAATGTTAATCATACTGTTTTGACCCCATGAAAAAAGATGCTAATGGTGAAGTGATCAAGAGTTCTTGAAACAAAAAAAGAAGACCTAAATGAAAGATTTCTGCGAGTGAGATCCCAGTGGAAAGAACGGGGCCATCAAAGAAGGAGGTACCCTTCTCTGAAGGGAGGAGAGAACTTCCACTTTAACTATGACCCTGTTGGAATAAGATCGAAGTCGGCGAATTCAAAAGGCTTCCATAGCCTTGGCAACACATGACTAGAGCCTAGGGAGATTACTGACGCCATAAACAAGAGTGTCAAATTGTTAAGTCAACAACAGGAGTCACTGTGTACTTACTTCTCCATGTGGGATCTGTCCTTAATGTGTTGTCCAATGTGAAGTAATGCTATAACTAGTACTGAAACAGTATTTTACACTTTGTGTTTCTGTGTGGGTGCAAACTGATGAAATCTTTACTTAATATATACTAAATAGATCTTCTGTATATAAAGATAATTGAAAATGAATCTTGATGTGAATGGAATGGGAGAGGGAGCGGGAGATGGGAGGGGTGCAGGTGGGAGGGAAGTTATGTGGGGGGAAAGCCATTGTAATCCATAAACTGTAAAAAAAAAAAAAAAGAGTTCTTGAAACAAAATAGATAACCTACTAAGATGCTTATTGATGGATAGGTATAAAAATTCTGAGAAATAAGTTAACATGTTATTGTGAAACTAGAAAGATCTCATCTCTTTCTCAGACTTTGGACTCCTTGACTGATGAAAAGAAACTGCATTCTTTTGCGAAAGCTACATTGGAACCACAGCTGTGTATCATGAATTGTTCCCAAACCAGTCTGCACATTTCAATACCTTGTAGGATAATTCAGTTATAATCTCTCAGGGTGAGACCTAGGCATTGGTATTGTTTTTTATTTGAAAGAGTTACAGAGAGGTAGAGAGAGACAGAGGTCTTCCATCCACTGGTCCACTCCCAAGATGGCTGCAACGGCTGGAGCTGCGCTGATCTGAAGCCAGGAGCCAGGAGCATCTTCCAGGTCTCCCACGTGGGTGCAGGGGCCCAAGGGCTTGGGCCATCCTCCACTGCTTTCCCAGGCCATAGCAAAGAGCTGGGTTGGAAGAGGAGCAGTCGGGACTAGAACCAGCGCCCATATGGGATGCCAGCGCTTCAGGCCAGGGCTTTAACCCACTGCGCCACAGCACCGGCCCCGGTATTGGTATTTTTAAAAATTGCCCAGGTGGCCAGCGCCGCGGCTCAATAGGTAATCCTCCGCCTGCGGCACCGGCACACCAGGTTCTAGTCCCGGTAGGGGCGCCAGATTCTGTCCCGGTTGCCCCTCTTCCAGGCCAGCTCTCTGCTGTGGCCCGGGAGTGCAGTGGAGGATGGCCCAAGTCCTTGGGCCCTGCACCCGCATGGGAGACCAGGAGAAGCACCTGGCTCCTGGCTTCGGATCAGCGCGGTGCGCTGGCTGCAGCACGCCAGCTGCAGCGGCCATTGGAGGGTGAACCAATGGCAAAGGAAGACCTTTCTCTCTGTCTCTCTCTCTGCCTGTCAAAAAAAAAAAATTACCCAGGTAATTCCAATAAGGAGAAAATTTAGGAAATCACTGCTCTAACCATTCTCTAGAGGGACCAGTACCAGCTTCCTGGAGAAAGGAAAGTATCCAGATCTCTTAAGGTCTATTGCATACTATCTCTAATCATATACTAATATCTGAAGACCCAGAATTCCACACTGAGAAACTGGTCAGCATAGAAGACCTAAGTCAAGTGATAGATGGAGTCTTGGCATGAGCAGCTAACAGTGGATCCAGAGGAACCCATCTCCAGTCCCAGGTATGTAGCTATATAGTCAGAATAGATATATTTTAATAATAAGCAATCAGACTTTTGGTTTTCTAACCCATGGTGTGAAATGCTGTTAAGGGCAGAATGTGCTATGCTTTGAATATTAGTTTGGGTGTTACTCAAAGGTTTTTGTGTTCAGTATTTGGTCCCCAAAGTCTTATGTTAATGGTTAATGGAGTAAGGGTGGTACCTTAATCCAATTATGGTTTCTGGAAGTGGTACCTTTGGGAAATGTTTAGATTGGAGTAAGTAGTTAGGGTCAAAGAGGGCAAGCTTAGGGTGCAATACTTTAAACCCTGCTTGAGAGTGAACATCCAATTCTAGCTCCATATCTAACTCTTAACTTTTTGCCAGTGCACACCTGGGTGGCAAGAGGTAATGGCTCCAGTACCTGATTCCTTGCCACCCTCATGGGAGACCTGGATTAAGTTCCAGACTCCTGGCTTCAGCCTAGCCCAACCCAGTTATTTCATACATTTGGGAAGTGAACCAGTGAATGGAAGATCTCTGTCTCTATCTCATTCTCTCTCTTTACTTTGCTTTTTAAGTTTTATTTATTTGGGCCGGCACTGTGGCTCAATAGGCTAATCCTCCACCTGCGGCGCCAGCACACCTGGTTCTAGTCCCTGTCGGGCACCAGATTCTGTCCCGGTTGCTCTTCTTCCGGTCCAGCTCTCTGCTGTGGCCCGGGAAGGCAGTGGAGGATGGTCCAAGTCCTTGGGCCCTATACCCGCAAGGGAGACCAGGAGAAGCACCTGGCTCCTGGCTTTGGATCAGCATGGTGTGCCAGCTGCAGCGGCCACTGGAGGATGAACCAATGGAAAAGGAAGACCTTTCTCTCTGTCTCTCTCTCTCTTTCTCTCTCACTGTCCACTCTGCCTGTCAAAAAAAAAAAAAAAGATTTATTTATTTATTTATTTATTTGAAAGGCAGAGTTAGAGAGAGATTCTCCATCCACTAGGTCACTCCCCAAGTGGCCACAGTAGCCAAGTTTGAGCCAGGCCGGAGCCAGGAGCCAAGCGCTTCATCCAGGTCTTCCACAATAGGAGTAGGAACCCAGATACTTGGGCCATCTTCCACTGCTTTTTCAGGCATATTAGCAAAGAGCTGGATTGAAAATGGAACAGCCAGGACTTGAGATAGTTCTCATATGGGATACCAGTATTATAGGCAGTGGCTTAACCCACCATACCACAATGCTGGCCCCTCTCTGCTTTTCAAATAAAATCAAAATAAATGTTTTTAAAGTATTCAAGGTGTATAATGATGGCTTTATATAAGGAGAGCACATAGAGATGATTATGCTCACTGTCTTTCTGCTTCCTGGCTCAACATATGGTCATTCCTTTGCATACACTCTGCCACTGTCAATCTCTGTCTTACCACACAGGAGACCCTGATGGGGCCCATCCAGTCTTGGACTGTGAACCTGCAGAACCATGAGCAAATATAAATCTTCCTTCTTTGAGGTATTATAGTGATGAATAAAAGTGACTAATAGGGGCCGGCGCTATAGCTTAGCAGGTAAAGCCACTGCCTGCAGTGCCGCATCCCATATGGGCACTGGTTTAAGTCCTGGCTGCTCCACTTCCTGTGCAGCTCTCTGCTATGGTCTGGGAAGGCAGTAAAGACGGCACAAATCCTTGGATCCTTGCACCCACGTGGGAGACCCGAAGGAAGCTCCTGGTTCCTGGCTTTGGATCAGCGCAGCTACACCCATTGCAGTCAATTGGGGAGTGAACCAGTGGATGGAAGACCTCTCTCTCTCTCTCTCTGCCTCTCCTCTCTCTATATAACTCTTTCAAATAAATAAATAAATCTTTTTTAAAAAATTACTAATACAAAAAAGCTACATGGAAGCTCAAGACTGCCTTCTGCCACTCCTCATCAAGATAGTAAATGCAAAGCAGCATTGCATGCCTGAGGAAATTGCAGATATTAACACTGTCATGCTGGCATGAGGATTCTTACCACATTGCCATTTCCACTACCTGTGTGGTCACCAGGTAGGTCTTACAGAATACTGTAAAAACCAGGTGGGTAATGAAGGATAACAGCACATTATTGCAAAGCTTAAGCAGGCGGAGATGACATTTGCAGTAACTGTCTTAGATATGATATCTTCTTTGGAGGAAATTAATAAACATGACATGATATTGATCTGGAATTACCCCCCCCACACACACACACACTGCAGTCAGTAAAGAAAATTAGCAGATTGAGTTTAGATAGCAAGGACAACAGTAACCCTCCTACTATCTTATCCTATGTCAACTCTCTTGTATGGTATTAAGAGACCTTGGTAATCTTGTTACACCGTAGAACATCACATTGATTCATTATAGTAGTGAAATTAGCAAATAGTATCCAGCATTTACACACATTGGTAAGACATATGCATGGTAGGAGGTACACTAGAAACCCTACAAAACTTCCAGGACCTACAAGTGTCTTAGGGGTCCAGTAGCCTGAAACATGTTAGAATATCTATTCAGGACAGTAGAAAATTGTGTCTTTTAATCAAGGTAGTCACATCTTCTGTTCTGAAACCAAAAATTAGTTTCATCAATAATTAACCACTATATAAATTGAATTATACATAGTGCATTCTTTTGTGTCTGACTTCCTTCATTTGAGATTCATTCATGTTACTGGTAGAAGTTGTACATTCATTTGCACTATTATGCAATATTCTACTTTATGTATATACTACAATTTATCCATTTTACTGTTGTAGGAAGTTGGAAATGTTTACTTTTTTGGCTATTATGAAAAGCACTACTATGAACATTCTTGTATATACCATTATGGTGTACAAAGATACACCTTTTTGGCAGTTGCTCTATTATACCCTAATAACCCACTTAAAGAATTTTCTGGTCCCTGAAACTTTAGTTGCTTCCAGTGTCCTTGTGTGCAGTGGAGGAATGCTTCACAGGAAAAATGGTTTCAATTAATTAGATGCAAATGGTGTTCACCAGCAAGTTTGAACTGCTTATATCACTAAGCCAACAGAAAAGGAGATCCCTGTACTGGCAACGGTGAGGCTCCTACTTAACAGAAGAAAACTGGATTCAGTATTACTTCATGTAGAATGTAGGGTATTCACTCAGATGCATTCAGTGCTCTCTCGGCCAGTAGTCCAATAAAAAAAAAAAAAAAAAAAAAGGAGGGGGTATGACCCCCTAAGGACCTCCACTAAGACTCGGATCATACAAGACTGTTATCTTGGTTACCTCACCTGTAAAATAACTCCATTCAGCTTAGCTGTTGGTAAAGATTGAGAGAAGTCTAGAATAGGTGGTAAAAGAAAGCAGTTGTGCTTATGACTCTAGGCCTTATGACCAGTGAAAAAGCAGGTTCTATGAAACTGTGTTTTGTTACTTCTTTTCTTCTCTACTGTGTATGAAGAATTCTGGGGTGGCTAATGTTTTTGGTTTTGAGTGAACATATGACTGAATTAACACCACTGCATGATGACTTAGTAGCTGACAGGAGGATACTGGTGAAAAGAGTGAGATGAGGGTATTTATTTCACTGCTCCCTTTGTTAGAGGTTACCTCGTAACTGGATTGCCTTGTAGAAATCAGGCTACCTTGTAATTGGGTGCGTACTCTAACAAAAAGCCACTGCATCCCTTGAAGTGAATTTTTCACAATTTTCTCTCCTTCCAGATTCTGGTAACTTCCTCATCCCTTTGTGTCTTTGGGTGTAAAGGTGGTACAGCTCCCCTGCTGTTAGCCCTGGGTTACAGAACTATCCCTTATGATTCCATTGTACCCTACACACAAATTTGTTATCAGTCCCACTGTAAATAAATCCTTACTAAATGATCCCAACCTGAATGTTATTTGTTTCCTATTAGGACCCTTACAAAGGACCTTTTTATATCTCGTTTTGCTTCTTGTATAAATGCTACTTGGATAATAGCATGGCCACACCATCTATCTATCTGTTAGTTTTACAGGGGTGTGTGTGTGTGTGTGTGTGTGTATATATGTACATGTATATATTTGTATATATACATGCTATATATATATATATGGTGTGTGTGTAAATATTTAAAATTTGTGTCATAGTGGGTTAAGCTGCCTGCAATGCCAGCATCCTGTATGGACGCTGGTTCAAGTCTAGGCTGTTCCACTTGGCTTCTACCTTCAGCCTGGCCCAGCCCCAGCAATTGTGGCCATTTGGGAAGTGAACCAGCAGATGGAAGATGTCTTTCTCTGTTTCTCCTCCTCTTTCTATAACTCTGCCTTTCAAAGAGACAAATCTTTTAAAAAATTTTTTGTCTCTTGAAAATAAGCTAAAGGTGTATTTTATTAGCCCAAGGTGACACTTTGTCTTTTAGTTGGGAATACTAATTTACATTTAATGTGAGTACTGATATATGGAGCTTTAGAAGTGCCACCCTACCATATTTTATTTGTCCCACCTGGTTTACAAGCTTTTTTCTTTTTAAGGATTTATTTATTTGAAAGTCAGAGTTAAACAGAGTAAAAAGAGGCAGAGAGAGAGAGAGAGAGAGAGAGAGAGGTCTTCCATCCACTGGTTCACTTCCCAATTGGCTGCAACTGCTGGAACTGCACCGATACGAAGCCAGGAGCCAGGAGCTTCTTCTGGGTCTCCCACGCGGGTGCAGGAGCCCAAGGACTTGGGCCATCTTCCACTGCTTTCCCAGGCCATATCGGAGAGCTGGATCAGAAGTAGAGCATCCAGGACACGAACCAGTGCCCATATGGGTTACTGGCACTGCAGGCGGCAGCTTTACCTGCTACACCCTAGTGCCAGCCCCAAGCTTTTTTCTTTACTTCCTTTGCAATTTATCAAGTTTTTAGGAAATTAGTTCATCTTTTTCTAGACTTTTAGTTCTGTGTTCACTATTCTTTTGTTGTTGTTGCTCACTATCTTAATTCCTCTAGGAAGCTGATTGCTCATCCCTGACTTCTAAAATTCTAATATGTATATTAGTACTTCTGCCACTCTATGGACATTGTAAAAATACCCTCTAACACTTTATTTGTGCTCCCTAAATTTTTGTTGCTGTTATGAATTAAATCTGTATGTTTTAACACAGTATTGCAGCCTTGCTTTGTAAAGTTAATGTTCACTTAGATTTACCTACATATTTTTCCTTTTTATTGCTGTTAATTCCTCACAGAATATCAGCACTTCCTTCTTACATCATTTTTCTCTGCCCAGAGGCTGCTCTTTCTTTTAGAGCAGATATGCTTGTGATGAATTCTTAGTTTCTGTGTGTATGAAAATAACTTTATTTTGCACTATTTTTATAGTTATTTTGATATGGAATTTTATGTTCACAATATTTTCTTTCAGTAAGTTGAAGATAGCATAATTTGAGTTGCGAAGCAGCTTTCTTATTGCCACTCATGTAATAAAGTAACTTATCTTTGTCCTCTGGTTGCTTTTGGTTTTGTTTTCTAGGTTTTAGCAGTTTTACTATGATGTGACTTGGTGTGATTTTCTTGCTTTTTCAGGTGGCTTTTATTTTAGACATCTTTTCAAATGATGCCTTCTTCCATCGGTCACTCCTTTCCTGGGTCTTTACTTATACCTAAATTAGACATTTAAAAAAAAAAATCCTTGTTCTGTATATCTCCTCTTCTCCCCACTCCCTAATTTTTTATATTTTCATCTCTCTCTCTAAATACACCTGCATATTTTCTTCTGAAATTTCTTCCAGTTCCTTGCTTGTCTTCAACTCTATAATTGGCCATTAGATCCATTGATTGGATGTTTGTCTTTCAGCTGTAGAATTTTCATTTGGTTTTCTGTGTTTCCAGGCACTACAAACATTCCTATTCTTATGTTTTTTTTTTAAGTTTAAGAACATATTAATTACAGTGATTTTTGAAGTCCTTATAATTTTTATGGGTTGCTTCCTGTTTTCTCTTGCCTTTTTGTATACCTGATTATTTTTGTGTCCTGAATATTACATATAAAATATCACAGAGATATTTTGAGGCTGTGGATAACATTACTTTCCTCTAAAGAGGATTTCTTTTGCTTCTGTTAGGCAGCTAGACAAGGGCGATATATAGACTTGCATCACCACAATATAGTTATGCCTGAGATGACTCTGTTCCTGTAAGTTCTGATCTACTTTCAGTTCATTCTGATTCTTCAGGATCTCAAATGAAAACCCTAGTGAGGCAGGATAGATAACTGGCATAGGGCAAGTGGCCTGCTCTACGGCAAGCACTTTTGGTGTCATAACCACCTCTTGAAAACAAGTCCTGATCAACAATAACCAAGCAGTTATACCCCAACCATTTTTTAATACTGGACAGGCAATCAAAAACCAGTTTTAATAGCTCTAAGCTTCATCTTAACCACTGACCAACCTTTGCTTTATTATAATAGTAAAACACATACATCACTGGGGGGAAAATTGAGATTCTAGTGAAATACACAATGTATGTTAGAGTGTGTTATCCCAGTAGTACTACATGACAAAGACTCACCCATCAGTAAAGGATGCTGCCACAAGCTGGAAAAGCCTGATAAAAGAATCTCTACCGGCACCTGGGACACAGCTCATTCTCTAGTGTGCCCACACTCACTCCTTCAGTGTGTACTTCTGCTTTGCAATAAAAATTTTTTACTGGCCCTTGTGTCCTATCTTCAAATTCTTTCCTGTGTTGGTGACCAGAACCTGGACCCCTCATTCCACACAATCCTTGGTGAGCCAAGCAGGAGTTGAAAGCCCACTGAGAAATCAGCCAATGAATCTTTCTGTCAACTGTAATCTCTGTTGTGGTTGAGAATCTTGGACTGTGTCCCTCTACCCTCTCTTCTTCACGCCATTCTCACCCACTATGGACTAATTCCTCTTAACCCAATGATGTCTGCTCCCTCCAGCAACTGTTGGGAGGTGGGAATGCCAAGAGCCAACATCATCCAGATAAGATGCCAGGGATCCTTTCTGATGAAGCCTTGTAAGAATGGTTGGGATTTGCTCCAAGGCATTGGCTGGGAAGTCTCTTATCTTTATTGCAATCTAGCTATGATATTTTTTACATTGTCTTCTAAAACCCCTACTTTCCTGTTAAAAACATAGTATTCCACTGCCATAGCTAAGGAAATATTGGGCCCTGGGTGGCAAGCCTCTTTTTATTGATGGATAACAAATTCTGCCACACTGTAGACCCTAACTATCCTTGCTATACCTGTGGAAAATCTTGAAGCTCCTGTCCAGCATCAAGTCTAGCCTCACCCTCTATAAAGACAGGTGAATTCGATGGATGAATTATTATTAAGTGCCCCTCCACCACCCAGGGTCCAACTACCTCAACCTCAACCTGCCTAAGTGTGAAGGGATGATGGGACTTCCTCTCTCTCAAGTCCTGATTCTGTTTTGCTCCCTACCAGCCCCCAGCCTCCACCCTATAATCCAGTCTGTGTTCCTTTACTAGGAAGTAGTTCATCTGGGGTCACCTGTAGTGGAGCAAATAGACTTTGCCCCCTGGGGGAAGTAGCCAATGGAGAAGCTAGGATAATAAGTACATGTTCCTTTCTCCGTGACTGATCTAACTCAGTGCAAACAAAACCTGGGGAGATGCTTGGAAGGTGCCACTTAGATTATTGAAGAGTTTCAGGCCTTAACCCTAGCCTTTGATCTAACCTGGGTGACTTACATATTGGTATATCTGTTGTACCATGGAAGGAAAACAGCAAATTTGTGCTGAAACCCAAGTTCATACCGAGTCCCTGACAGCTCAGCAACCCAGCTAATATGCTATGGGAGCCACAGCAGTTCCTCAAACATATCCCAAATGGAACTATCAAAGAGGTCATGGGGCTTTAGGGTGCTAAAGCCACAGAGTTACCTGATTGGTGACTGGGATAAAAGAAAAAAAAAAATACACTGTTAAGCCAATCAATTATGACAAAATTAGAAAGCCCAGCTCTAGTCCAGAGACAACTGATAGAGGCCTTAAAGAGATACAGCAACATAGAACCCAGCACACCTGAGAGACAGGTCTTGGTCAGTATTCATTTCATCAGTCAGCCCCAGACATTCAGAGAAAACTCCAAAATTTATCAGTAGAACCCCCAAATTCCCAGTAACCAGACGCTAGCTACAGTGTTTGGCATACTTAGTAACAGAGACAAAGCTGAGGAGAAAAGGGGGCTCTACTTCAGGGAACAATGTTCTTTACAACAAGCTCTCATGGTGGCAGTTTCTATAAACCAGTGCTCTGCAGCCTCACAGTCAACCTAAGGGGTGTCCAGGTGTAAGTGAAAAATCCAAAGGAGAACTTAAAGTGGGAAACCAGGACATTGGCTCAAATAATGTCTCCACCTGAGAGAGCCACCCAGACCATGTCCTCAATGCAAACAAGAAGGATGCTGGAAATGAGATTGTCCCCATCTCCAAAGGGAGGGGAAGAATCCTAATTCCCTTATGTGACTGAGGACTGATGGCCTGGGAACTCAGGTAGCAACCACAACTCATGATTATTTCACTCCTAGAAACCCGGAGAACCCTGGATGTCACAAGTAACAATACTGATTTGATGGACAAAGGAACCATTTACTCTTTTTAAAATTCCCAGACAGGACCCCTGTCCTTAAAGATGTATTACCAGAGTTGAGAGTAAATCTCTTTCCCAATTTCTTACCTTGCCTCTAGCTTGCCAAATAGATGTTCTAGTCACCTAGCACTTTGAGGTAATGCTGGAATGCCTAATGCCTCTACTTGTCAGAAACTTGTTGTCCTCCTTGGGCAAGTCCCTTTAGCTAAAAATGCCCCTGGACCAGAACTCTTATTATGATGCTAATAGATACTAAGGCAATACTCCATTTAGATAAACTCCCTGTTAAGTTTCAACATAAATCAAACCCTCAACTCTGGGACATTTCTGGACAGGCCACCTATTATGTCCCTGTCAAAATCTTAAAGGATACCACCAGTTTCCCCCTATTGATGTCAGTATTCCTTAAGGTCTGTGCCTAATGGGGACTCCAACCTCTGATCAATAAATTTCTTGAACATGGGGTTCTACTTTAATGTCAGTCCTCCTACAGTACTCTTATTCTGCCAGTCCTGTGGCCAAATGAGGAACATTGCATGATTCAGGGTCTCAGGACCATAAATGAGGCTGTCATCCTGCTCCACCCTATTGTATCAAACACCTATACTATTCTAGCCCAGTTCCATAAAGGCACCATCTGTTTTATGGTCCTGGCCTTAAAATGTATACTTCTACATCCATAATCCCAATATTTATTCATCTTTGAGTGGAATGACCCCCTACTTAAATGTAACAGTACATGGATATGGTCCTTCCCCAAGGTTTTAGGGATAGCCAAATGTGTTTGATAACACCCTTGTTAGGAAACACAAGGAGCTCAAATTACATTTTACAGTACATAGATGATATTCTTTTTGTGACCCATCAAAGGAGTACTCAAATAAAAATATTATTCAGGTTTTAAATTGTTTAGGGGAATGAGGGTATTAAGTTTCTCCAGCTAAATCCCAAGTTTCTTAATAGAAAGTGGCCTATCCGGGATACATCATGAAACCAGAAAGCAATTAACTGAAAAGGAGACATGTTACAGATAGGACCAGCATTGTGGCACAGTAGGTTAAGCCACCACTTATGATGCCAGCATCCCATCATCTCTCCTTGTCTGTAATTTTGACTTTCAAATAAATAATAAATCTTTTAAAAAATGTAAGAACATCCTTGGGGATGGCAGGCTCCTCCAGGATCTGGATTTCAAGATTTAGACTCATACCAAGCCTTTACATGAAACCTTAAAGGTTCCAAAATGGATCCACTTGAATGGATCAAGAAATGTCATGAGGCTTTCCAAGAAATTAAGAGGTTATTGATGGGGCTGGCCTTGTGGTGTGGTGGGTTAAGCTACCCTGTAGTGCCAGCATTCCATATGGGCACCAGTTTGCCTTCCAGCTCTATTTCCAATCCAGCTCCCTGCTAATGTGCTTGGGAAAGCAACAGATGACTCAAGTGCTTAGGCCCTTGCACCCACATGGGAAACCCAGATGAACTCCTGGCTCCTGCTTCGGCCTGGCTCATCCCTGGCTGTTGTAGCCATTTGGGGAATGAACCAGCAGATGGAAGATTCTCTCTCTCTCTCTCTCTCTCTCTCCCCCCCCCCCTCCACTCCCCTCCTCTCTCCCCTCTTCTCTCTCGCCTCTCTCCTCTCTCTTCCCTTCAAATTAAATATTTTTTTTTAAAAAAAGAGCTTATTGACCACTGCCCTTGCACTAGGAATCCCTAATTTTGATATGTCTTTTACCCTATTTTTGACTGAGCAAAAGGGATGCTTACTCAAAAGTTAGACCCACTCTCACAGCCAGTGACCTATTTCTCCAAACAGCTGGACTCAGTAGCCACAAAATGACAAAATGGATGCTTAAAGGCAGTGATTGCTACTCACTTCTGGTGGTCAGCTGCCAAGTGAACTTTAGGTTAGTCCCCCAAGGTTTAAACTCCTCACCAGGGGCAGGGGGGTTCTGGATGTTAAGAGAAACACCAATGATTAACATAAGGATGCCTCACTAAGTACCAGATCTTTCTTTTAGATTTACCAGAGAGAACTCTCAATCCAGATAACTTTCAAAGTATGCCTAGTTCTCAGTCAAGCCACTTTCCTTCCCTTTGAAGATGTTAAAGAGCTAACTCCTGTGTAGAGACTTCAGAGCAGAGTACACTTGACCTCAAAGATGAGCCTCTAGAAAACCCAGATGATGAATAGTCACTGATGGCAGTAGTTTCATAAAATGAGGGATCAGAATGGCAGGATACACCATAGTGAGTGAGTCTCAGTCAAATGTGGAAGCTGAAACATTACCTCCTGACACTTCAGGTCAAAATGCCAAACTCATTGCTTTACCCAGATCCCTAAAGTTAGGAAAAGACAAGACAGTCAATACTTTTTTAACTATGCTTTCCTTGTGTTGCATGCCCAGGCAGCAATCTGAACTTACTATAAAAAACTTCTCCTATTAAACATGGCCAAGAAATTGTGGCTCTTCTATAGGCATTTTGGAACCCCTAGAGGTAGCTGAGATTCTTGAAGAGGGCACCAAAAGGGAAACAATCATATTGGCAGAAGGTAAGGCAGCAAAATGAGCTGCTACATAAGCAGCCCTGGGTGGCCGGCATTGTGGCACAGCAGATTAAGCCACAGCCTGCAATGGCAACATCCCTTGTGAGCACTGGTTCTAGTCCCAGCTGCTCCACTTTGGATCCAGCTCCCTGCTAAAGCACCTGGGAAAGCAGCAGAAGATGGCTGAAGTCCAAGTGCCCCTGCCACCCTTGTGGGAGACCCAGAAGAGTTCCAGGTTCCTGGTTTCATCCTGGCCCAGTCCCAGCCACTGCAGCCATCTGAGGAGTGAACCAGCAGATGGGAGATCTCTCTTCCTCTCTGTTTCTTCCTCTCTCTGTGTAACTCTGCCTTTCCAATTAAAAAAAGAATTTAAAAACCTTAAAAAAAAAAAAAAAGCAGCAGGAGCACTGAAAATGGTTCTGATCCCCTAGTCTCTTGTCAGCAGCTAAAAGCTCCCACTATACTATTCCCAAGATAGAATGACCCCAACAACCAGGCTATACTAAAGACCCCAATGGATGAGGGTACCTACATCCTGAAATAGTGCTACCAATGGGCTCTCAGTAGAAAATCATCAAAAACTTGTACGATTCACCCAGCTGGGGATGGAAACTCTGGCTCAGATGGCTTCTCACAGTTTGGGAGGCAATGGATTATACACTGACACAAGCAGTGACTAGATCTTTTTTTCTCCTTTTGTCTTCAAAAATATCCCTGGCAGCTACAACAAACCACACCTTCTACTTAACCCTGTACAGGGAAGGAATCACATATTGGTGAAAACTGAAAATTTGACTTTACAAATATGCCTAAAGCAAATGGTTTTAAATATTGACTAGTTTTTCTTGACACCTACTGGATGAAGCCATTCTAACTCAAACAGAAAAGGTGCCAAGAGGTATCTAAGGTCTTGCTAAATGAAGTGATTCCCCATTTCAGGTTCCCAAGATCCCTCCAAAGTGATAATGGCCCTTTGTCTCCAAAGGAAGCCATCAGGTAACCTCCTCTGTAGACATCACCTGCCACCTCCATGTGTCTTGGAAACCTTGGTCATCAGACAAAGTTGAGAGAGTAAACCAATTCCTTAAACACACCCTGGCTAAATTATGTCAAGACACCTTTGAAACTTGACTGAAGCTGCTGCCCAGTTTCCCTTCTTAAAATAAGAATGGCACCTAAAGTAAACTTACTGTTAAACTCCTATGAAAGGATATGTGCATGGCCTTTCCATACTGCTGATTTTCACTTTGATCCATATACCCAGGATCAAATAAAGTACACTATTAATTTGGATCATATACAAAAAGCTCTTGGAGAATATAGTAACAAAATTTTTCCAACACCATATCCCAAGGGTCATAAACAGTCTTTTTCTTAGATCTTTTGTTACTAAAGACTTGAAGAAGGGGATTTCCACCTGCTCAACTACAGCCTGAATAGAAAGTGTTCTATCAAAGTACTACCCAACACCCCTATCATAGAAAAAGTTCAAGGTATCCCTCTCCAAGTTAACTTCTCCAGAATTAAACTTATTCCTGACTCTGCCCTACAGGAATAGGCAGAGGAACCTTCATAAACCTGTGACCTCATGGAGGATCTGAAGCTGCTATTCTGCCCAAGTCAATCTCTGTTGGGTTTCTGACTCCAGCTTCTTGATAATGCTTACCCTGGTAGGCGGCAAGTGGTAACTCAAGTAGTTAGGTCCCTGCCACCATGTGGTAGACCTGGATTGAATTCCTGGCTCCTGAGTTGAGCCTGGCCCAGGCTTGACTTTTGCAGGCATTTGGGGAAGCAAACAATGGGTGAGAACATTCTCTTTCTCTTTGTCTCACTCTCCTGTTCAAACAAACAAACCTTTTTTAAAGATTTATTCTATTTAGTTGAAAGTGAGAGTTACAGTCTTCCATCTGCAACAGCCGGAGCTGGGCTAGATCAAAGCCAGGAGCCAGGAGCTTCTTCCAGGTCTCCCATGTGGGTACAGGGACTCAAGCACTTGGGCCGTCCTCAGCTGCTTTTTCACATCAGCACATCAGCAGGGAGCTGGAAGGAAGTAGGGCAGAGGAGACTTGAACTGGCACCTATATGGGATGCCTGCATCACAGGTAGAGGCCTAAACTGCTATGCCACAATGCCAGCCCCTCAAATAAACATTTTTAAAAGTTATTTTAGGGGCCAGTGCTGTGGCGCAGTGGGTTAAAGCCCTGGACTGAAGCGCCAGCATTCCATGTGGCGCGAGTTCGTGTCCCGGCTGCTCCTCTTCCAATCCAGCTCTCTGCTATGGCCTGGGA